CTATAGTAGGGCACCAGAACTGCACACAGTACTCCAAATGTGGCCTCACTAATGTTTTAAACAGCTGCAACAAGATGCCCCAACTCTTATATTCGATACTCTGAGTTATACATAGCTAAACTTGAACCAATTTATTTCATTGGCCGTCGGTCTGTGGCGCAGTGAAGCACAGAGAGAGAGAGAGAGACGAGATTGGCGCAGTAAAATATTAGATAGAGCACAGCCGCAGAAATGAAACCTCTGAAATGCTGTGAAAGCTTTCAAAGAGAGTTATGAGAATTGCAGGAAGAGGAGGAGGAGGAGGAGGAGTGTAGGGGAGGTCACATTCCTGAAGCAGGAGAAGAAACCTTCGAAATGTGACTGGAGTGAGGATCTGCCCTTTTCCAATGCCTTGTGAGAGTTTCAGTGCTGCCGTGACCCATGTTACATCTATGCCAATACTTCAAAAACTGTGACTCTCGTTCTGTGCACATGCACCCCACAAAGGCTGGCTAGTTTAACTGTGTCTTCCCCATTGTTAAATGGTGGCAAATGTCAGAACATAGGAAATCGCAGCAGGAACAGGCCATTCAGCCCTTTGAGTCTGTTCCTTCCTTCGATAAAATCATGGCTAACCTTTGACCTCAATGCCATTTTCACTTGTAATCCCCACACCCCTGATATCTTTAATATCTAAACATCGATCAGTCTGTCTTGAATACAGCCAACAATTGAGCCTTCACAGGCTCAGGTAGAGAATTTCAAACATTCCCCACCCTCTGATTGAAGAAATCCTTCCTCATCTCAGTTTTAAATGGCCAATGCCTTATTCTCAGGCTGTGTCCTTGCTTCTAGATCCCACTACACCCCCATCCCCCACAACCCCCGGTCTAGCTTCTTAGGTTTATCCTTGTGTGTATTTTGCATGTTCCAGTCAGTACACCTCACATTCTGCTAAATCCCAGAGGGGACAGACCCGGTCTTCCCAGTCTCTTCTCAGACAACAGTCCCACCATCCAATGCACAGTGGGGGTTGGGGCCTCTGTGGTGACGGTGGCTTTGATTCTAGATGGGGACACTGCTCTGTTGGAGTGCTCTGTGCTCTGGTTGTGGGAGCATTGTGCTTGGTTGGGAGCAGGCCCTCTGTGCTCGGGCCGGGGCTGGGGCCCTCTGTGCTCGGGCCGGGGCTGGGGCCCTCTGTGTTCAGGCTGGGGCCGGGGCTGGGGCCCTCCGTGCTCAGGCTGGGGCCAGGGCTAGGGCGCTCCGTGCTTGGGCTGGGGCTGGGGCCCTCCGTTCTCAGGCTGGGGCCGGGGCTGGGGCCCTCCATGCTCGTGCCGGGACTGGGGCCCTCCTTGCTCAGGCTGGGGCCGGGGCTGGGGTCCTCTCTGCTCGGGCTGGGGCTGGGCCTCTGTACTCGGGCTGGGGCTGGTGCCTTCTGTGCTTGGGCCGGGGCTGGGGCCCTCCGTGCTCAGGCTGGGGCCGGGGCTGGGGCCCTCCGTGCTCAGGCTGGGGCTGGGGCCCTCCGTGCTCAGGCCGGGGCTGGGGCCCTCTGTGCTGTGGTTTGGGGTTGGGCCCTCTGTGCTGTGGTTTGGGGTTGGGCCCTCTGTGCTGTGGTTTTGATGAAGCTGTTGCTGAGAGGTTTCCTGGACCAGCTGCAGTGCTGGGGGCTGTGATTTCTGGCCCTGGCCCTACTGGTATTCTTTGACTCTCTTCTAAGAGCAGAAGTGTTCTTCCCAGGACAGTATTTGTCCCTCATTAGTCCACACCATTAAAATTGATATCCGATCAATAAACCAATAGCTGGTCACTAAGACCGGTATCTGATCATTAAAACCAGTATCTGATCAATAAAACGGTATCCAATCATTAAATCCGATCATTATCACATTGCCCTTTGTGGGATCTTGCTGTGTGTAAATGGACTGCCTCCATTTTAACTACACTTCAAAAATACTTCATTGGGTATAAAGTGCTTTGGGCCATGATGAGGTTGTGGAAGGCACCACCTAAATGCAGGAATTCTTTTTTCCTTTAACTTTGACTATCCAGGGACCAGCTCTGGGTTAGTTCACTGCACAGGGTTCAGTGGAGACAATTTGTCTTGTCTTTTCTGGCTGCACATTACTAAGGAGAGTCAATGTTCAAGGTGAGGGAAGTCAGAAAAATCCCAGCGGTAATGCGAACTGCTCAGGGAGGAGGACCGAGGCCTGTCTCTGCTGAAGGAGCTGATCTGCGCCAGGCTTCAGGTTACAATTGGACTCCTGGGAGGAAGCACTGTGAGGCCTTGGAGCTGGGGAAGGTTTGACTCAGCCGTCACTATTGGCTCCTATCACGATCATTGAACTGGATAGGAATTACAGCATGGAGACAAGATGTTTGTCCCAACCAGTCAGTTCCTGATGTTGTTAATCCCTTCATGTCTGTGCTATTTCCAAATCTCTCTCACTCTGTCGCTGTCTCACCTCTCTCTCTCTCTCCTTCTCTCTATCTGTCCTCTCTCTCTTCTTCTCTCTCTATTCTCTTCCATCACTCTCTCACTCCTCTCTCTCGTTTTCTTTCTCTCTCTCCTCTCTGTCACTCCTTTCTCTCCCTCCTTCTCTCCTGTCTCTTTGTCTTGTCTCTCTCCTGTCTATCTCTCCCTTCTTCTTCTCTCACTCCCTCCTTCTCTGTCTCCTTCTCTCCCGCTCCCTTGTTCACCCCCTCTCGTAACTTCTCTCTCTCCTCTATCTCCCTGATTCTTCTCTGTCTGTCTCTCCTTCTCTCTCCCTCTTGTTCCTTAATCCATCTTGTCCTTCAGTGCAGATCTGACCCAGTTCTGTTCCAGTAATTTAACACAGTAGTCCTCTCTGCAGTAGAAAATACCCTCTATTTATCTCTGCTCCGAAACTTTTTGATTTAATTTTCTGTCCTTAGCCTGTTCTTCCACATCATTCTATCCCAGGGAATGGTCTGGCAGCAGAAGCATGCAGTCTAGTGAAGTACTGAAGGAGTGCTATACTGTTGGAGTTGCTCACTGTGAAATGGGATGTTGAACTCAGGTCCTGGGCTGCTCTTTTGGGGAGCTCTGAGCAATCCTACATTGCCATAAAAGAATTCACTCGGCTGAGTCCTGAAGGACAAGTGGTTGCCTTGAGTAAAGACTGATCAGGTTAGGCCTGATCTTGTTGGAGTTTAGAAGAAGAAGGGGAGATCTTTAAGTAAAATGTAAGATTGTAGGGAGGTGAGGGGTAAATGTTGACAGGACCTTTCCCCTCATGGGGTATCAAGTGCTAAGGGGTACAGTTTCAGAATAAGAACTTTGCTGTTTCGGATGGAGATGAGGAGGAATTTTTTTATCTCGGAAAGTTAAAACAGCATCACAGCAGGCCATTTAGCCCCTCAAGTCTTCTCCACCATTCAATATGATAGCTGATTCTGTACATCAATACCATATGCCTGCACTCTTTCCATGCACTCTTTTAACATCTAAACAAATTATCAGCCTCTTTCTTGAATATTCTCAGTGACCTGGCCTCCACAGCTTTCTGTGGAAGGAAATTCCATAGGTTCGACTACTTTCTGGGTAAAGGAACCTTTCCTCCTCTCCTGAGACTGTATCCCCTGCTTCTAGATTCCCCAACCAGGGGAAATATTGTCCCTGCATCCAGTCTGTTGAGCATTATTGGAATTTTACACATTTCAATCAGTTTCCATCTTATCTATCTACACTCTAGTGAATACAGGCCTAGACAGGATACTGGTTAGGCCACTTTTGGAAGACTGCATTCAATGCTGGTCTCTGTGCTATAGGAAGGATGTTGTGAAACTTGAAAGGGTTCAGAAAAGATTTACAAGGATGTTGCCAGGGTTGGAGGGTTTGAGCTATAGGGAGAGGCTGAATAGGCTGGGGCTATTTTCCCTGGAGCATCGGAAGCTGAGGGGTGACCTTATAGAAGTTTATAAAATAATGAGGGGCATGGATAGGGTAAATATCCAAGGTCTTTTTCCCAGGGGAGGGGAGTCCAAAACTAGAGGGGCATAGGTTTAAGGTGAGAGGGGAAAGATTTAAAAGGGACCTGAGGGGCAATTTGTTCACATAGAGGGTGGTGCGTGTTTGGAATGAGCTGCCAGAGGAAATGGTGGAGGCTGGTACAATTACAACATTTAATAGGCATCTGGATGGGTACGTGAATAGGAAGGGTTTAGAGGGATAGGGGCTAAATGCTGGCAAACTAGACTAGATTAATTTAGGATATCTGGTCAGCGAGGACAAGTTGGACTGCAGGGTCTGTTTCCATGCTGTACTGCTGTATGATGCTGTAGGACAGTCCTGCTATCTCTGGCATTAGCCCAGTGAACCACCACTGCATTATCTTGTTAGTCTTGGAATTCTTTTCTCCAGAGAGCACTGGAGACTGGGTCATTGACTGTGTTTAATTTAGTGAGTTAGATGGACATTTTGCCCAGCAGGAAGTTGAAGGGTATGGTGCGGGTGTGAGAGCCAGGGTAGGAAAGCGTAGTTGAAGCCACAGTCAGATCAATCACGATCTTATTAGAGCAGCACTGAGGGGCTGAATGGTCTCCTGCTCCTATTCCTTCTATCCTTATTCTGTCCTTTCATCTCCGCTGTAGGCTGATTCTAACCGGTCTCTGAGAGAGTGAAAGTCAGCCATGGGCATAGTGCCCATTGTGGCCGAATAGCCTGGTGGCTCTGTGGTGAATGGCAGTGGCGTCGACGAGGTGTTGGTGGGTGGGGAGAGAGGCCCCCGGTGAAGTTGCATCTCAGGATAAATGCAGCAGAGGCAGCCTGGGAGCGCGGAGGGAGCTACCTGCAGAACTGCGGGGGGTTAAAGTGCTCATTGCAAAGGTTTCTCTGGAAGCAGACTGTGTGGTGGGTGTGTGGGATAATGCGGTGTTCCAGTCACTGCCTTCATGCGTGCTCAGTACGCTGAAAACCAGCCTGAAACTCCCCCGAGCCGAGTGTGGAATGAAGACTCTAAGCAGCCCTTCCCTCTGTCTCTCTCTCTCTCTCTCTGTTGCAGGGGAACCACTGCATGATCCTGTGCATCAACTGCCAGGAGAGTTGTTCACCTTCTTCCAGAATCCGGCGGAACATGCCATGCCCGGAATCCCATCGGATAACCGTCTGCCTCCTTCCTACTGCCAGACCCACTTCGACACCCTCACTAAGGGTAAGAGCTCGCCCTGTCACAGGGTCCTGAATCCACTTTGTGTTCCTCGCAGATTGACAGAACGTAAAATGAAGTAGAAATCTAAAGCCTGCACTCAGCCAAGAGAAACCAGTGTCTCTCTGAACCCACATTGTCTTCTAAGGGAAAGAAAGAGACAGGTATTTGTACAGAAACAATCACAGAAAACACTGGCGTTCCTCAGCGGCTCTGTGCAGAGAATAATAGATATTCCACTGCAACACGCAATAAACAGAGCCAAGGGAAGCAACATGGTAAAGTTGGTAACTAACTGCACTCCAAAAAGAGCCATGGATGTTACTCTCCAGCACAGAGGGACCATTGGTTACATAGCGCCTGAGGGTAACCATTCACCAAGTGTGGGGCAAAGTGATGAGGCAGCCAACAGTCATGCCTGTTACACCCACAGATACACACACACGCACACCCCCACACACGCCCACACCCACGCGTACACACGCGCACACACACACACCCCCCCCCACACACACACAGACACACAGACACACACACGCTCACACACACACACAGACACACACACACATACACACACAAAAATAAATCAGACTCACACACACACATAGACACACAGACACACACACACTCACACAGAGACACACACACACACGCTTACACACACACGCTCACACACACACACTCACAGAGACACACACACACCCCCACACACTCACACAGACAGACACACACACAGACAGATACACGCACAGACACACGCTCACACACACACACTCAGACAGACAGACACACGCATATACACACACACAAAAATAAATCACACACACACACACAAACACACACATACTCACACACACACATACACACACACAGACAGACACACAGACACACTCACACACACAGACACACACTCTCACACACACACAGACACACGCACAGACACACACACACACTCACACAGACAGACACACGCATACACACACTCACACACAAAAATAAATCACACACACAGACACACACACAGACGCACACACACCCATGCGCACACGCACACACACAGACACCCGCACCCACACACACACACACACACACACTCACACAGACAGACACACACACAAAAATAAATCACACACACACACACACACAGACACACACACATACACACACAAAAATAAAGCACACACAGACACACACACACAAACACACACATACTCTCACACACACATACACAAACACACACAGACACACATGCTCACACAGACAGACACACACACAGACAGACACATGCACAGGCACACACACACACACACTCACACAGACAGACACAGATACAGACAGACACACGCGCACACACACACACCAAACACACACATGTACACCAAACACACCAACATGCACTCTCTGGATAGTATCACACATGCAAGTGTGATAGACTGATGAATATGCATCCATGCTACACACGTGTGTGACACTCTCATATGCAAACACACATTCAGAGATGCATACACGTGTGCAAACACAAAGACATATGTGGGTATGCGCACATGTGTGGAACACACCTATGTCTTAAGACACGTGTGCACTCACATATGCAGACCTAAATGTAAAGAAATTGAATTGCCATCTAGTGGAAACAAGGGGAATGGTAGAAGTGAGATTGGAATGAAACTAAAAGAGAGAAAAGGGACAGGCCCCTCTGCCTGTGTGAATGGAGGCTGGTTAAAGATGAGGTATTCAAACCTGACAAAGTAGTTTGGGTGTGAACTGAAAGTCTTCAGTTTTTGCCGGATCTCTCACTATAACCTCAGCAAAAACACTGATGTGACAGCATAACCATTTTACACCATGTTACTGGGGCTGTGTTGCTGTTCCTGCTGTGACTCACTCGGTATCGGTTTTCCCATGGGCGGAAAGTTGTGGGTTTAAGCCCCCCTCCAGAGATCGAAGTACTGAATCCGGGTGTATGGTCCGCCATCAGTACTGAAGGTGCGCTGCACTGGCACTCATGCTGTCATACACCGATCTCTAACCAATACTCTGTCTGCCTTCTCGAGTGAATGTAAAACACCCTGCTACACTGCTCCACAGTTAGAGATGTGGCCAATATTTATCCCCGAAACAACAGCTTGAAACAGATAACCTGCTTTGAGGTGTCCTGAATCTGTGAAAGATGTTGCAGAGATCTGGGATTCGATTTTTGTCTTTTCTTACTTGCCACCAGTTTCACAGTGGAAACTGTCTCTGGGCTCTCTATCTGGGTAAATTTATAGCAGTGAGTCAGAGATGCTCGATACGCTGAGAAAACCATAAACACAACTGATAAATGTTCCTCAGAGCGGCAGTATTCTGAATATGCTTCTGTTTGTTTCTCCTGCACAGACCTAAAACAAAATATTTACATATTCCGAGGAGCTGATTACTGGAAACTGTCAAAAGACGGGAATATAAAAGGACCTCTGTCGTTGCAGAAAAGTTGGCCTGAGCTGCCCTCAGCTATTGAGGCAGCTGCTGTGTCGGATAAGGAAGGGAAATTCTACTTCTTCAGAGGTAAAGTGATTCCAGTCCAATCGCTTAAAGCCTTGTTAGATTGTGCTCAGCAGGTTTCTCAGGTCATGCAGTCACAGTTAGCACCAGCATCCTTATTTCTGATGAGTTTTGGTGG